AGTTTTAGAGACTTTTATGTCCCATGTCCTAGGGAATGGAATTTCCTGGTCACTTCTCATCATCATTGGTCATTTCATGCCAAGTCCCACACACACACTTTCCCTCCACCCAGCTCTGGCCAGGTCCCTGGAAAAGGAACAGAAAGGTCCTTGTTCCCAGTACTGCCTCTTTCCCTCTCTCTCCTCTCCCCCTCTTTTCTTCCCTCTCCTCCCACCATCCACTTCTGTCCACTCAGCTTTGAGCAGCAGGGTGTTGGGGAGAGTCCAGTCTCAGTACAGCCTGTCTGGTGGTGTTGGGGGTTTCCTCTGATTCTTCATTGTTTTCTTCACCCTTGCCTCCAACCCTTACCACAGGCTGCCACCATCATCACTACAAACCCTGTGACTGACTTCCCCATTGACCACAGCTCCCTTCTCTGGACAACTGTATTCTGACTTCCGCCCTCTCATTACTCCTCCCCTCCAGTGGTGGGAAGGGAAGTAAGAGAAAGCCCAGACTCCTGGGTCCTTCCCTCCCTTAGAAGCTGTATCTCAGTGTGTGTGTGATCTCATCTCAGGGCTGTTTAAAAAACAACAACAACTTAGTTTTTAGATCAGTCTAGGGTGCTAGGGCCTCAGGAAGATTCATATTTGTGCTCAAGTATAATATTTATAAAACTGCCCTGTTTGGAAACTTTGAGGTTCTCTGTGTTATAGGACTGGGGAAATGCATTGAGTACAGAGAAAACTCAGGTGTGCCCTACCCTGACTGGCAGTAATGAAAGTTCTTCCTTGGACACTAATGCTTTGGAAAGTTCCTTGTGTCTGGTTGGCTGATGACACTTGGGAATGGAAGTGGTGAGGAGGGAGGAGAGAACAGGTCATAGCATGAGGGGAGGAGGGGAGGAGAGAAGCAGGCGCAGAGCAAAGTGGCACGATAGGACATGTGAAGAGGGTGGGGACGCTGGAAAAAAATTTCTCATGGGACAGAAGATACCTGGCACATGTACCTGCAGCCTGTGCACAGATCTATATGACACACAGGGAGATACGGCCATGCCACATATGTGCAAACAGAGGTGCACCTGCAGGAATGCAGTGAGTGATATAGGACACACAGAAACAGTGTGTACAGCCTTGAGGAATGATCTCAAGGTCAAGTAGTAAAGGAACTGCTCAATGTCTTTGGGAGGGGTTGGATCTCAGTTGAGGGAAGTGAGGAGGAACAAGGGCAGGGAATAGAAAGAAGAGGGAAGAATTTCTCACTGTGAAAGTCTTTCTTGAGAATCAACCTGCTAAAGTTAGTCACCTAGGACTTGGGTGGTCAAAGTCTTAAAGAAAATCTAGGTGTTCAGGGTAAGGTGAGGAAAAAGGGAGGGACAGGGGTGGAGGCCTTGTTTGTGAGAACAAAAAACCACCATTTCCTCTTCAAAGTCACTTAAATGCCCTTCCCCTTCTGCCCTAAACCCAGAGAGAAAGGGGGTAGAGCTTGTAGTACCCCCCAAACTTTGCTAATTTCTGCCACTATCCTTTGGTTTCCCTCCCATCCTCTCATCCTAACTGCTTCTAGCCCCTTTCCTCTCCCTTGATACCAGCAGCTACTGCTCTTTAACACCTTGGTGTCCTTTGGTTCTTTTCCTTTCTCTGAGAGTGAAACTGTGAGGTTCTTATGTTTGGAGGATGTTAGTGTTGGGTACAGAACTAGGGATTTTAAGGGAGAACAAATTCTGGGCTCATTAGGAGGTTCTCAAGGACGGAGGAATTTCTTATTAACCTTTCTTCTCTCTCCTTTCTGCTCATCCAGGGTTCCAAGCTTGAGGAAGACATAACCTTGTACCTGCCTGCCCGCTTCACTCTCTGGCCCTGCCAGCTTCTCAGGGTCTGAGACATTGACCTTTACTGATCAGCCAAGGGTTCTGAGGACTCTACTTTCTCTAGCCCCGTCTTGCTGAGTGAACCCAGGGTATTGTAACGCCTGAAGGGAGTGAAGAGTGGGCGGTCAAGGCACCAGAGCAAGAGCCCTCTGGGGCCTCTGGCAGAGGAGTGAAACTGGAACCATCAGGGAACATGAGTGAATTTTGGCACAAACTGGGCTGCTGCGTGGTAGAGAAACCCCAGCCGGTGAGTCTTCCCACCCCTACCCCTACCCCTGCACACTGAGAAATCAGTTACCGTATACTGTGATGTAGACACACCATCTAGGATCTGCTGTCTGAAAAGCACACTTCTTGTCTCCCTCTCTGTCAGGATAGTTTCTGTGGCCAGGCAGGTATGCACTAGAGTAAAGGGGGACTGGGGGACGAAAGAAGTGAGCAGTCCTATCACTTCCTGTTCCTGTATATTTTGAGTTGGATGGGGGTTGTAGGTGGAGCTTATACCTGTCAGCTTTCCCCATTGTTTCCTCATCAGCCCAGAGGTGACTTTGACATGTCCTTTCTTTGTCCACTATTCACTCTGCAGGTCTCTGCCCTCCCCAACTGCCTATGTCTGTCTGTTGTTCCAGCGTTGCCTTCCATACTGTAGTGATTTATTTCCCTATTATATTGCCATAGCCCCTTTCCTATCAGGCTCTTAGCTCCTCCTTTAGTGGTTTTCAAGATTCTTTTTTTTCCTTCCTCCACTGTGACTGCAGGAGGGACTTTCAGACATAACTCCCCTATTTTCTCCAAGCAGAAGAAGAAGAGGAGACGGATCGACCGGACCATGATTGGGGAACCAATGAATTTTGTCCACCTGACTCACATTGGCTCTGGGGAGATGGAGGCCGGAGATGGACTTGCCATGGTAATAAGGGAATGGGGACAGCTTGATATGGGGTTGTGGCCTAGAACTGTTCCTCTTTGAAAGTTCAAGCAGGGGTCATAACAGAATACTTGATGAGGAAGTAAGAAGCTAGGATTCTAGTCTTGGTCACCAGTTGTGTAAACCTGGGACCTGGCATTTCAGGTCTCTGGCCTACGTTCCATCATCTTTACAGTTACCAGAATATTATTCATTGGAATGGGGGGTATAAATGTCTTTAAGCGTTACTTGGATGGCTTTTTCCAAAAACCATATCCCTTCCTCCTATTCATTAAGAACTGCTGTCTTGGTGCCACAGTAAGTCATCTTGTGGTTGGGAGTGTTGGGGCAGGAAAAAGGCCAAGCACCTCTGTCCTAAATAACATCTAATATGTATTTCTGCTCTCAAAATAAGGGAGATGGACCTGGAGATAGTGAAGGAGTCTTTTCACCAATTGCAAAACTTAGATAACTATGATAGGATCCTTTGGGAGAGAATCTTATTAGTAAAAGACTTTTTTTAATCCACACCCAAGGACATGCTTTTATTAATTTGAGAGAGAGGGGGAGGAAGAGTAAAACATCCATTGGTTGCCTCAGGCCCTGATGGGGGATCAAACCCACAACCCAGGCATGTACTCTGACGGGGAATCGAACCTGAGACCTTTTGGTGTATGGGACAGCTTTCCAGCCCACTGAGCCATACCAGCCAGGGTGTAAAAGACTAATTTTTATCTCATCCTCACAAAGGTCAGTGTGAAGGGAGGCATTGAGACCTCCCTTAGAAAAATGGTGATTAATTTTAACCCTTCCATGTGATTTTATTGTCAAGGAGATGGGGTCAACCTCTTCCATGAAGGGCACAGGGGAGATCTCTTACTGTGAGACATGAAGACTTAGGAGAGAGTTTCACATTTGCTTTTTCACAGACAGGTGCAGTTCAGGAGCAGATGAGATCCAAGGGAAACCGAGACAGGCCATGGAGCAATTCTAGGGGCTTGTAGCTCCAACAGGAATGGTGAGTGATTAGCGAAAGCCACCCAGCACCTCCAGTACCTGCCAGCCCCTGCTGATGCCCTGCCTTAGAACCCTGATCCTCTGCCAGAATGGGAATCGCGGGAAGGAAGAACTAGCCTGGGAGAGTTAGTAATGTAGGATCCAGTAAAGCAGAGAGAAAGGGATGTGCAGACAGAAATAGGGAAAAAAGCACACTATGAAAATAGTCGGCACTATGTGATGCCTTTCTCCCTGAGGCCTTGTTTTTTTTTGAGGCTAATCTTTTTCTTTTTTTTTAAATCAGGTTCTGCTGTATGAAGTCTCCACTCTGTGCCCAGCCCAGAAGAGATGCTGCCCCCACCAGATCCCTCCTAGAACCAGTGTCCCCAGGGCCCCTTTTTTCCTTATCTGCCTGATAGTGCCTCAAAAGGCTTGGGGGCTGGACTCCCTTTACTCCCTCTGGCTATAGCCCCTCCTGGAGATGGGGTCAAGGCAGCAGGACTGACCAAATGACTACTGGTTGGCCAGAGGAGCTCAGCTGAAGCCCTGGACACTCTCAGATCTGAAATAGGAGTTTATGGAAACCTGGAATGAGTTCCCTTCTCCTGAATGACGGTCTGGGTGCCACCTGTTTTTAAACTATTAACCTGGAACTCCTTATCTGGCAGGTGGGTGAGGTTACCAAGCTGAAGCTGGCTTTGCTAAAAAGCTCCCTACCTCCCCTGCCCTTCTCCTTCCTCCTGGAATGACCTGAAGCAGACGTCAAGCGGGGCCTGGGAGGTTGACCACTGCCTAGTCTACTCTCTTTAAATCTCAGACCTTAAGCTTACAACTTTTTAATCTCTCTGCCAATACCAGCATCTTTCTCTAGTTAGGCCTCTAGCCCTGTTTTTGTAGCATTGCTAACTCCCCAGTATCTTTCCTTTTCTTAAATTAAAAATTTATGATGAGTTCTCTTAATTATGCTCACCCCACTACTACCTCTGTCCTTAACCTCATCCCTGTTAGAAACTTACTGTTTCCCATTGAGTAAAACCTAAGGTAAGAGATGGATCTTAACCTGATGACATTCCAGTTAGGTCTCGGGGACCTGCCCTGCCCTCTGCCAACCTCCCTGCTGGCCCAGGTGAGAGGAGGAAGAAGGATCTGGAGAGAAGCCCAGAATGTAGCAAAACTAGGAGTTATGTCTCAGAGTGGACTTCCTTCCTGATCATTGAGGATGGGAGGTAGGGAGATAAATTGGTTGAAAACGATCATCTGCGAGTTTAGGAATCTTATGATCCTCACAACCTGGGAGCAGGGAGACATTCAGAGCAAGGTTTCTCAGTCTGGAGACTTTTGACATTTTGGGCTGGATAATTCTTAGTAGTGGGGGACTGTCCTGTGCATTATAGAGTGTTTAGCAGCATCCCTGGCCCACCCTAGTTATGACAACCAAAAATGTCCCCAGACATTTGCCAAGTGCCTCCCAGGGGGCAAAAGCACCCCCAGGTGAGAGCGAGTGCTCTGGAGTCAACATATTTTTCTCTTAAATGATTTCTATCCCACACCCTACCCCCATCCCATTATCCTAAGCCTGAGGCTTGATGAACTAGACCCCCTGTAAAGTAGGCTTCATAGGGCTGCACATAGTCTCCAAGCAATCCTTTATTCGTTGTGTTGCTCGTGCTTGAATGGGTTGTTTCTGTGATGAACAAGTACGATGCTTCTCCCTTGCTCAGTGGAGAGGTTCCTGCAGTGGTGGGATTGGGGAAGGAAGGAGAGAAAAGCAGTAGAGTCGCAGACACCCCAGTGCTGTCCTCCCCAAATTTTAAGCTCTATTCCTATTCCCTAGTCCTGGAACCAGACACAAATAAGACTCAGGGAGTTTTGTCTGAAGAACAGGTCCCACTTTCCACCTGGCCGAAGAGTCTGCTTTAGGTGGGAAAGTAATGGAGGAGCAGGGTCTTTAGACACTTTCAGTTTTCTCAGGTGTTTTTTGTTCTGGCCCCTTCCTTACAGGGAGATTAGGAAGGCAGGACAGATGAGCTCCTGCCTGCTCTGTGTCCAGAAGGCAGGGGTCTCAGTAACTCAGTAACCGCAAGCATTCTGTTTGGTGATAGGGGGGCAGGAATGTGGGAATGAGGATCCACTCTGCTGATGCCACCATCCATGCAGTTTGCCCCCACCTACAGTGACTGAGGTTCTAATTTTTTCAAGTTTCAGTCTATTTCCTAAAGTTTTTCAGGGTCTAAGGTTGCTCATAGAGATATTCCCAATTTACGCTGTTCCAGTCAAACTAGTTGCTCTGACAATAGCTCATCTTGTTGCCCTGAAGTAGCTCAATAGCGTGGGGTTTTACTAGATCTGAAGGGTTGACAGGCTAGGGTGGAAAGATGGGGGCTCCTGAAATCTCTGGTCACCCTGATCTTTAGCCTTATTCTTATGCCAATGCTTTGAACAGTTTTTTCCTTGGTTCTCTCTCCTTTAGCTACCTTCTCTAATGTGTGTGCTACCATCACTTTAACAATATTTAGAGTGATGGGAATGGGTTTGAGAGTCATAATTTATATTGAAAATTTGTTGGACTTCTAAATACATTTTTCAAATAAAAAGTTTTAGCAAAATAGTCACAGAGTAATCACTACGGGTGTATGTTGGGTTAAACAGTAGATATGGCTGATGAAGGTAACTCCTAGAAAGTGGCTAATGTGGGATTTTGTATCATTACCCTTTCTGAGGAGAAAAGGCGGCTAAGTTTATGAAGCCAAGACCACCATCATAAGGACTAAACTCCTGCTTGGCATTTATCTGAGCTTTTTCAAAATAAGTACTTGTTTAAAAACAACTTTGGAAATGAGTACGATGAACAACCACCATTTTATCCTGGGGGATGGGAAGGGCCCAAGCCAGATGCTGCCCGCTGCCCAGTTCAGTTTTACAAGATTTCTGGTCTCTCCTCCCTCAGATACCTCAGTAAAAAGACACAAGACCAAACAACGTTTTTTCTAGTTTTGTTTTTCTGTACTAAAAATACCCAGTGGGTGCTGGGATTGAAAGGGGAGGAGAGGTTGAGATGCTGACACCTCTTCTTGCTGATCAAGTGGCCATTACCTCTGGTTTCTGTCTATCTGGGTAAGAAAACAAAATAGAGAACAGGGGAAATATTATAATGACATCTATTTCATTTTTCAATGCTTCATCTCTCTCTCCCCACAAACCCTCATTCCCTCAACACTACCACCCCCTAATGATGCTTTTTTATATTGAATAATGGTAGTGGACACACAAGGAGAAAGACAAAACAAACCATCAAAATGACCATGTATACATTTTATTGTCCTCTCCCCCAAAGGTCCTATCCTATCAATTGAGAATATTTTATCAGGTCAATCAGAGCCTTTGGTAGTTCTTTTGGTAAAGCAGAGGGTTGTCCCTCCTTAAGAATTCTTAGCTTGCTGAGAATAATCCCAGGAGAGTTCTTGGGGATAGTGGTAGTTAAGAGCTTCAGCACTAGTGTCAAACCTGGTTTAAATCCTGCTGTGACTGCCACTTACTAGCTTTATAAACCCCCATTTCTTCAGCTGTAAAGGGATTAATACCTCATAAGGCTGTTGGATCCAGGTAAAGTGCACATAGCAAGACCTCAAATATTGGCTGTTGTTATTGTTAAACTGCATTAATAAGCCGAAAACTTAATTATCTTCCATATCCATTAATTATCTGCATCAAGAATTCTTTTCAGCCTGGCCGGCATGGCTCAGCAGTTGAGCATCAACCTATGAACCAGGAGATCTCGGTTCGATTCACGATCAGGGCACAGATTTCCAGGTTTCAGGCTCAATCCCCAGTGAGGGGCATGCAGCAGGCAGCCGATCAATGACTCTCTGATCATTGATGTTTCTCTCTCTCTCCCTCTCCCTTCCTCTCCCTTCAATCAATAAAGACATATTTAAAAAAAAAAAATTTACATATCTACAATCTTAATTTGGTCAGTTATCAGCTGATGACCAATACATGTTGACCAAGCATTTGTTCAAGATGTAACAGGTGGAATCCATGGCCAACAATAATGTGAATAAGCCAATGCATATTATGAATCAGTAACCAAACAGATAAGTAACAGTTCATGCAAGCACACCGACTGGTTCAGGACTTTTCAGATCTATCAACAAAGATCCTGGCTCATCACCAAACACTTACCGGCATATTTGTGAACACTGTAGAGAGGCTGTTCCAAATATCCTCCAGCCCAATCCTGACCCGTCTCCAAAACTCAAAAGCGGGGCTGGGACTGGGGCTGTAAAAATGCATGGGGGATGTGGGTCTGAGTCTGGTGCCCATGCGGGGTAGGGGGGTAGGGGTGGGG